GTTCATATTTAGGGAAAATGGTTTAAGAAACATTTATTGATTGTGTTTTTGATACAGTCTCAAGCTGGCTTCAAAGCCACTATGTAGCTGAGGGTAACCTTGACCTGACCTTTCCTCCTGAGTGCTGGGATTACAGGCATGCCCAGTTTATGAACTACTGGGGATCCAGCTTCATGCATGCCACGCAAGCACTCTACCAAGTGAGCTGCATCTCCAGTCCCAGGAAGCTGTCAATATTTAATATTAAATATTCACTATTTGATTGTGTAAATGTGAGATCTGAGATTCACCAAAACCACCTTCACGGCCACTGTGATTTGGGTCATGAAGTCCCAAAGCTCACAAGTTCAAGGCTTGGTCCCTGTTCTGTGGTGCTGCAGAGAGATGGTGGAGCCTTTACAGGTGGGTCCTTGTAGAAGTGAGGTGGAGGCCTGCCCTCAGGGGGTAGCTGGTATTCCAGCACATTTCCCTGGCTGTTTCCCAGTCACAGAGAGGGAAGAAGCTTGGCACCATCAGCTCCTCCTGTCAAGATCTACTTCCTCACCTTTTGCCCAAAGCAGAGGCCAACTGCTCAAGGACTACAACCTCCAACTGTGGACAAAATATGCCTTTCTTCCTTATAAGTAGGTGGTCTGGGGGTTTTGTGACAGCAACAGAAAGTTGGTTAACACAAAGGTAGTGCAATGTTTTAAAAATTAGGGGTTAATTTTTTTTCTATCATAAATTAATTTCTGCTCAATAAAAGTGTGGAAAATTGCTAGGCGTTGGGCATAGCTGCAATCCCAGCACTGAAGAGGCAGACGTGGGGTGATTGCTGCAAGTTCAAGGCCAGCCTGGTCTACAGTGGAAGCTCCAGTGGGAATGAGATAAGAATAGAAAAGATCTCTGTGAGTTCAGGGCCAGCCTGGTCTATGTAGTGAGTTCCAGGTCAGCTGGAGCTACAGGGAGACCCTGTCTCAAAAAGACCAAACAACAACAAAAACAAAACAAAAAAGAATAGAGAAAGCTTGCTGTCCAAACCCAACCCCATTTTTACCCCCAGTATGTCCAGTCATCTTCCCATGCAGGAGTTTAAAGGCTCTAGAGCTGTGATCATATTACACATTAATAATAAGCCTATTTCAAAGGTTGTATCTATGTCATGGAGAAGACTGTAGGTTTTTGTTGAATTTCTCCTCCATTTTTCAGAAATTACGGACTTTCTGAAATGTATTTCTCCATTATGGTCCATTGTGGTACGTTTTCCTGCCATGGTCTAAATTAAAATGATGGGGCTGCTGAAGTGAAGAAAACTGGCTGTTCTTGCCAAAGACCTGGACTCGAATCCCAGAACCCACATGGTGGCTAACAACCATCAGTAACTGTTATAGGACAGAGTTCGTAAAAAATCACCAACACCACTTTAAGAAAAGTAGCAAGGTAAATTTTAATTTTCGACCGGCCGGGCTGTCTATCTCGGGAGTAGAAGCAGCCCTGATGATTGTCAGGTCAGAGTTTTTATAGGATTACAGAATTATTATTAAAACAGGACACTTGTGAACCAATCAGGTTTGTACAACAGCAGAATTTTGATTCTATCAATCAACAACCAATCATTATACAGACAAGTGATATAGTCATATAACCTGGCAGTCAACTTTGTGACCTTAAAGCTAGCCAACTGTTTTAGCCATAAGTATAATAAGACAGTTAAGGTAAGTGACTTCTAGGTGGTCATACAGTAACAGGATAACAAGGGTGGTCTTATGCCCTGTGTCAAGGCGACCCAAGACAGCAAGCGGGTTACAGAAGTGAAAACAAGCTGGTTAGTAAAAATATGTCTGGAATTAGCACATCCCATGATTCATGGCGAGGACAGTTTCCCAAGGCCCAAGGTTGCCCCCCTTTTCCTTTTGGTGTGGAGCAAAGTTGCTGCTGAAATGGCTCTGAACAAAATGGAGTAACTTAGGGAAGTTCGCTGAGCCAGTTCAGTAACTCCAGCTCCAGGGGATCCGACGCCTTCTTCTGTCCTCAGGCACTGCACAACAGGGGTGCACTTACGAGCAGGCACAATACTCATATATATAAAAGAAAAAGATCAAACAAGAATTAATTAAAATGGTATAAATGAATACATTTTTGTGTAAAGTCTTTAAAATAATTTTTGATGCTGTCATAATTGTGTACATATGTAAAAATTAAAATCCTTGCTCACAAGAAGCATTTTCTGGCCTTATTCACAGCAGTGTAATTATGGACACAATGCAAGTGTGCAACAACAGAAGAAATTGCTCTAGAGGAGTTATTCAGCCTGAGAAGCAAAGGTATCCCGATCACTGGATGAACCCAGGGGTAGATATTATGATAAACAGAGCAAGTCAGATGCAGAAAGACACACAAAGATTGAATTCATAGAAACAGAACAAAGCAGAGCTCACCAGTCCCAGAAGGCAGAGGGAATTCGGAAATGCTGGGCACAGACTTGCAGTTATAGGATAAACTGTATCACAAGGTGACTGTAGTTAATAGTAACTTACAGTTAGCCAGGTGTTACCTGTAATCTCAGCACGTGGGAGGTGGAAGCAAGAGGATCAGGAGTTCAATGTCAAGGGCGCGCGTGTGTGTGTGTGTGTGTGTGTGTGTGTGTGTGTGTGTGTGGTCCACCAGTTAAAATTTTTTTTCACTACAAGTGAAAGAGAAACAAATACACCAGCAGAAAGTACTGTAGACTTGAAATTTGCTGTGGGTATGTCTTAAGTATCACACACACACACGCACGCACGCACGCACGCACAGGGATTAGCTGTGAGGTGATGTTAATTTGACTGGGGCAATCATTTCATAATGGACACATGCACCACAACATCAAGTTGTACACCTCACAGTCTTGTCAACTATTTCAAGTACTGAGAAAGCACTCTCTGCTTTACAGACTATTCCCATTTCATTCATTCCCACGGGTAGAACTAACAGTCCATAAGCTAAAATGTGTCAAAGGATTTCCACATTTTGGGGGGCGTCTGCCCTTGCCTTGACGTCCACCCACCTCTGGTGTGTGCAGGAGCTGTTCCACCGGCGCCGGCTTTAAGGCTTGGTCCCAGCTGCTGGAAACTAGTTCCTGACATCCATCTGGAGGAAGTAGGTCTCCAGAGGTATGTCCCTGGGGGAGATCGTGCCCTGCTCTTTCCTTCCTTCTGTCTCCTCCACCAGGTTTGCCATTTGCTTTCCCACACGCTCCCCATCGTGCCTCCCAGCCTCGCCATGCACGGGCCCTGGAGCAGCAGAGCCAAGTGACTGTGGAGGTGGACGGCAAACCGCTTCAGGCATTTGATGAAAAAGTGTTATAACTTACCATCTCAAGTTGCGGTGCTCCCGCAGCACTCGTGTCAACCTTTATGTCATTTATTCTCTTTTGTGGTTTTTTTTGCAAATTTTTTTCTTATGATAGGAAGGATTGAACCCAGTCCCTTGAGTACACACTAGGCAAATGCTTCCCCATGAGCTGCCTCATGCATGTTAGGTAAAGGGTCTGCCACTGAGCTGCATCCTTGGCTTTTTAAATTTTTTGTAACCAAATTTTTATTAGAAGACTTTAAATTTGCACGGTGAGAACTAATGAAAGACGAAGGAATCAATATCGAAATAGAAATGAAACAATAAAAAGTTTAACATGTAGAAATGCGCAAAAACAGGATTCTACTGTGTTTTCAGTTGCATTAATAATCAGAAGAAATGCATCTGGAGTGGTTTAGACAGCAACCAGAAATGGAAAATCCTCATAAATGGCTAGGTTACTTTTAATTTTGAGATAGGTCTTACTAAGCTATCCAGGCTGGCTTTGAACTGACTCTGTGTTCCAGGCTGGTCTTGTATTTACAATCCTCCTGTTTTAACCTCTCAAATAAGTGCTGGAGAGATGGCTCAGTGATTAGGAACACTGGCTGCTCTCGCAGAAGACCCTGGGTTAGTTCCCAGCACCCACATTGTGGCTGACAGTCTGTAACTCCAGTTCCAGGGGATATGATGCCCTCTTCTGGCCTCTGTGAGCATTTCACACACATGGTGCACTTACATATATGCAGGCAAAATATTCAGATATAAAATAAAAATAAAGAAACCAGCCTCTGGAATAGCTGGGCTCACAGGCCTGGGCTGCCAGGCCGACTTCCCAGGCATCCCTTTGAGCACTGCAGTGTCTTTATTTCTGTCCTCTTTTTTTTTTTAAAATTTTTTTTACTGGATTGTCTACCGCCATTGACTTGTTATCTTCGTTAATTGTATTAAACCTGTATGTGGCAAAACAACACTGTATGTTTTCTGCAAATATGTTCCCCTGTCCATTGCTGACTTTTTTTTAGACAGGGTCTCCCTGTAGCCTCAGCTAGCCTGGAACTCACTATGTAGATCAGGCTGGCCTTGAACTCAAGAGATCCACCTGCTTGCCTCTGCCTCAGGAGTGCTGGGATTAAAGGTGTGCGCCAGCACGCCCCGCCCTTTGTGTCTTCAGATGAACTCGGTGTGACGCAGAAAGGGGTGAGGCGGAAAGGCCAATGAAGCCAAGATTTCTTATCCCCCAGCGACCGACCGTCTGAGTGTCCCAATTCACGCTCTACCACCTCCGTTGCCAAATCCTATGTTCTACAACAGCGGCTGGATAAAGAGCCCAGTTCCATTTGACTGTCAGATGCCAAGATAGCCAGTTAAATTTCAATTTCAGAAAACAGGAACTTTGTGTATGCTGTATGCAAAAGAGGAACGATCTGTGTAGACCAGACTACTACCCACAGTCTCAGAGATCTGCCTGCCTCTGCCCTCCAGAGTGCAGGTACTAAACGTGTGTGCCACCACACACACATCTTTTGTACTTGAAAATATTTATGTGTGAGTGGTTTTGCCTGCATGTCTGTAAGTGCACAGTGTGTGCGATGCACAGAAGCCAGAAGAGGGCCTTGCATCCCCAGGAACTGGAGTTACAGATTGTTACCTACTATGTGGGTGCTGGGAACGGAACGCGGGTTCTCTGCAAGAGCAGCTATTGCTCTTAGCCACTGAGCCACCTCTCTAATCCCTAACTTTTTTTCTTCTTAAAATAAAACGTACTAATACTGCCAAGTGCTGGTCACTTTGAACTCATCATTAACGGGACGTCCTGCACGTCTATTTGCTTAACCCGGAACTCCTGATCCTGAGTTTACTAACACCTGTTTGCCGTAGAGCCGGGCAAATGGAAACGAAGACGGCCCTGATCTCAGAGTTCAGATTCTGATTTTTCAGGCAAATTTGCAACCAGAAAAGCAATCCCTGACCATTAACAATTAACCTTCATGGAGTCTAGTCGGTATCCTGCTGTATCCTGTGGGGGTGGAAAGGCACTGTATAGCCCCGACCCCGGCCTCATTGCTTTGGTTTGAGGCAGGATCCAGAAGCCCGAAGTTTTAGGAACCCAGTGATTTTCCTCCTACAAATGTGGGTGACCCTGGCAAATCCCCTTCTGGCGGCGCTGGGACCCCTGGTCGCACCCCTGGGAGGCGTTTGGGGCCCGCTCCGCGCCAGGCCGGGCCGGGCGCACACTGGGCAGCCGAGCTCAGGGTGGCTTTGCAACTCCGAGGCCTTCCCGTGGCATCTCCGGGGTCTGCCCGGGCCAGCAACGGACAGGAGACTCCCGGGGCGAGGGCAGTCGGCTCGGGAAGCTTCCGCGCACGGCCCGCCCTCCGCCCACACAGCCCGGGGACGTACCCGCCGCGAAACCCCAGGGGCTGGAGCTGCCCCGCTGAGGTTCAGGTGACTTTCTCTTTGCAGCGCACCCGTGGCCAGCCCGGGCCTCCCGCAAGCCGAGAGCGGCGGGGTGCGCGCGTGCAGATGGGTGTGCGCGTGGAGCTGCGGGGTGCGCGCGTGGAGCTGCGGGGTGCGCGCGTGCAGGGTTTGCGCGTGGAGCTGCGGGGTGCGCGCGTGCAGGGTTTGCGCGTGGAGCTGCGGGGTGCGCGCGTGCAGGGTTTGCGCGTGGAGCTGCGGGGTGCGCGCGTGGGACTGCGGGGTGGGCGCGTGCAGACGGGTGTGCGTGTGGAGCTGCGGGGTGTGCGCGTGCAGGGTTTGCGCGTGGAACTGCGGGGTGCGCGCGTGGAGCTGCGGGGTGCGCGCCTGGGGCTGAGGTGCCCGGTCCCCAGCGGCTCCACGGTGGCCCAGCGAGGTGGCGGGGGAGGCTCGTGGCTGCGCTGCGAAGGGAACCGACGCCCCGGTGCGGAATTTCCGCTCCTCCGCCTCCGTGCGCGCCCGACCCCGGTGGAGACAAAAGCGCGCGACCCGGAGGCCCGGCGGGTCCGGTACCGAGTCGCCGAGCTCCCGGGCCGCGTGCCCGCTCCTGGCTTTGTGTCCAGAACTGCAGCTCTGCCCCCCTGGGCACGAGTAAAGGGGGGCCCGCCCGCCGCGACCCGGGGACCTCGCTCGTCCAGTGTCCATGTTCGTGTGTGGGCGAGTGCGCGTGCACGTGGCAACCTGCGGTTGATGGCAGGAGCCATCCTGGATTCCTCGTCCACCTTCTGTGAGGCAGGGCGTCTCAATCAAACCCAGAGCTGGCGATATGGACAGTCTCCGCTGGAGGAGGCTGGAATTTCAGGCACAGGCCATCACGTCGGTTCTGGGGATCCCAGCTCCAGTCCTCTCCAGGCGCCCAGTTTAGATATTCCCCTTGCAGTCTGCTCTCTGGAGTGTTCCCTCATCTGATCCGTGGCCAGCCCAGGCAGCCTGGTCTTGGTGCAGGCCTGTTGCCCAGGTTACAGGGGCGCATAGATGAAGAGGGGAAGGCAGTGCCCTGGATCGCGCCTTCTGCTCAGGGAACTGCCCTGTGTCTGCCCTCTTGAGTGTGTTCTTCGATCGTTCTCAGCGCTAAACAAACACCCGTGTCAGTGCCATGGGCACCCAGGACAGGAGAGGGACGGCTGCATGGAGAGGTGGTGGCTTTATCCTGGATTTCCCCTCTCTTTCCCTGTGGTTTTTCCACCCTGTGTAATTAAGTGTTGGCTAAAAGCAGTTCTGACCTGGAAGATGCCATAATGATTTAAGAGAGCGATGTGCTGGTCTGACAGGAGCTGGGAAGCTTGGCATTGTTCGCCCTCTCCAAAGGGAAGTGAAGAAAGGCCCAGTCTGCCAACCCCTCTGCCTGGTCTGTGCCAGGGCTGGGATTTGGACCCCAGATGGACTCAAAGGCTTTATCAGTGCTTTATTTATGCCTTTTTTTTGCTTCCTCTTGGAGACGCTGGGGAGATGGAGCAGCCTAGGGTGAGGTCAAGGCAGATGGGTGGACAGATGGTGTCAGGATCTCCAGGTGACTTGAAGTATTAGTCAACAGCCAGCCCCAGGTGCCCGGATAGGGCACTGCACACAGCACTTCCTGCCCTGGAAGGGGAGATCCTTAGTCTTGCAGCGGTTCTAGTTATGTGTTTACTGATTGAGACAAGGTCTCACTGTGTAGTCCTGGATGACCTGGAACTTGCTCTATAGACCGGTCTGGTCTTCATTTCACCGAGATCTGTCTGCCTCAGCCTCCTCAGTACAGGAATTAAAGGCGTGCGCCATCACGATCAGCTTTTGTTGCTGTTTGCTGAGACAGGGTCTCACTGTGTAGCCCAGGCTGGCCTGGAACTTGGAATCCGCCTGCCTTAGCATGATAGCTTGGGACTACTCTGTGTCTGACGTTTCTGTTGGCCACCAGAGTGCATCACTAACACCTGTTACTTTATTATTTTTATTTTTGTGTATGAATGTACTGCCTGCATGTGTGTAAGTGCACCCATGTCATGCAGAGGTGGAGGAGGTCAGAAGAAGGCATTGGATCCCCAGGAACTGGTGTTACAGATGGTTGTTAGCTGCCATGTGGGTATTCAGAATCAAACCTGGGTCCTCTACAAGAGCAGCCCCACATCTGTTATTAACTTTCACCTTCCGGAGTTCCCAGTTGTTGGGGGGGGTGTGCTCCCTCTTCCTGCTCTGCTCCTTCCCGAGGTGATCTTTGGAGGATAGTCCACTGACAGACTGTACAGCGGACATGTATGCAGTGCACTACACACCCCCTTTTGTGGGTCTAACGTGTGTATTAATTATTGGCACCATGAACAAAATACCTGGCAGAAACAAGAGAGGAAGATGAGTTTCAGCTGTTCTCAGAGCTTTGAGTCCATCACGGAGGGACAGCATCCTGGAGCAGAGCAACTCACACTGTGGTATCCAGGAAGTAGAAGGAGGGGAGGGCCGGTCCCCCAAGCCTATGGGCTGATGCCACCCACATTCAGGGAGGCTTATCCCCTCTGTCAATCCCTTTGGAAATCCCTCACTAACACAGAGGTCTGCCTCACCTGGGAGTCTAAATCCAGTCAAGTTGGCAGGAAGGTAGCTATCATGTGGTGCTTGGTAATCCTTGTGTTAGTCACCTGACAATAAGCAGTTTGAGGGAGGAAGGGTTTCCTCTGGCCCACAGTTCTAGATCATTCCATCACAGTGGGGAGGACACAGCCCCTGGTGGAGAAGGCAGGGAGCAGGAGGCCTGCGGGTCTCCTGGAATCTATAGCTGGACGCAGAGAACAGACAGGAAGTGGGGCAGGGCTGTCAACCTCAAGGCCTTCCCCCAGAGGCCCACTTTCTCCATCAAGCCTGTACTTCCTAAAGGTTTCACAGCCCTCCAGACAGGACAGCTGGGGACCAAGCGTTCAAGCCCCAAGTCTACCGGGGACATTTTACATTCAGACACCACGGGAAGGAAAAGGACTCAATTAGGACTTTATCCCACACATTAGAAGGATCTGAAGATGTCAGTGTGAGCAATGGCATGTAAGACCAAAGTCAATTTAAAAAATTCAAAAGATACAGTAAAGAGACAAAGAACTGTATTGGTAAATCAAACCCAGCAATGTATAAAAAGGACAATAGACCACGACTGATTTAGATGTATTCTGGGAATGTGAGCTTTGTTCAACATTAGAAAGGAATAAATTCAATTAACCCAGCACCCCAAATAAAAGAGGAAAAAGTGATAAAATTAGATGCCCATGAAAAACAAAATTTTTTTTGCAGGGCTGTGGCTGCGGCTCAGTGCGTAGGGTGTCTGCTGAACATGTGCATGGCCCTGGGTTTGAGCTTCAGCACAGGAAAAACTGGGTGCAACAAAACAACAAAAACTTTTTGGAGGGAGAGAAATTAACAAAGATTTAAAAATAATGGAAGGTAATCCAGAGTCAGTAAAAAAAACCAATCCAGGCTAGGGCATGGTGGTACACATGTTTAGTGCCTTCACTGGGGCTGCAGAGGTAGGCTGACCTCTGAGTTTGAAGCCAGCCTGGTCTACATAGCAATTGCCAGGTTACATGGTGAGACCCTGTCTGTAAAAAAAAAAAAAAACAACAGCAAGAACCCCCTCCCCAAATCCAATAAAAACCGAGATTATGTTAAAAAAAATAGAAACTGCTAAGTCTGACAGTTACTCAGAAATTCTACATGCTCTCTCAGCTGATCAACACGTAGTTATGTAGTGAGTGTTGGGTACGTGAGACTCATGGAGTGGGCATGCCAGCCTACAGGTGTGACCTCTTGATTTTCACCTGGGTGGCACTGAGCAGACTGGGGAAAGGGCGGCCCAGAGAGGACACGGGGTCAACGGGAAATCCATATCGACTCATAATTTTCTTGTTTTTTAGAGACAAGTCCTCATTCTGCAGCTCACTCTGACCTTGTGCTCACAGCAGGCCTGCCGAGCGATAGGCCTCTGCGTTCAACTGAATCGACTTCCTATCTTCCTCTGTGCAAGCATTAATCAAGATTCACCATGAATGTGATGACCTAGGCACACGCACAGACATTACTGATTGTAAAGGAGAATATTGGCATGAATTTGTAGTCATCTAATGAGTCCATAAAGAATCTTTAGATTATAGAATGGGCAAAGTATTCACAGTACATACTGTGTACAGATGTACAGACTCATCATACTCACACTCTGGAGTCATCCCATACATCAGGAGGAAGAAGGTTGAATCGGGGGCTGGAGAAATGGCTCAGTGGTTTTTCCAGAGGACTGGGATTCTGTTCCCAGCACCCACATGGCAGCTAACAACTATCCATAACTCCAGTTTCAGGGAGTTCCAGAGTCTTCTGGTCTCCTCAGGCATGCGGTACACTTGTACACACACATAAAATTAAACAATAACAGGAAAATATCGGATGGGCAGCTTTGTAGGAAAATTGGGCAGATGTCACTTCCTAAAAGAGGAGCCGCAAATACCCAATAAGCAATCCGATATGATCCAACCTCGGGAGGTTGGATGGCACAGGTGGGTCACAAGGACACTGACAAGGATTACCGGGGATGATGGAGTTTATTAGGAGAGTTAATGCCGTGAAAAGAGAGACAGACAATAGTGGTGGGGCCCCATTAGGAGAGACAGCATGGCAGGGCTCAGAGGAGACTCAGAACCCATGTGACAGAGGATGTAGCCTCCTGTTAAACCTTTTGAGGATGAGGGCAGTTTCACAACTAGGGTCTGCAGCAGGGCTCTCAGATTCCTTACATTCTTACACTATGGCTGTGTGTCTGTATGTAGGCTATAGAATGCCATAGAAGTATTAAAGAGGATTCAAGGGACTCCACAGAGGCCTCACTGTGGGTGTACACAGGCTGATGACGCTGCAAAGGGAGCTGGATTCTAACCTCTGCTGGCCTGCTGCAGGGTCCACTAGCTGCAGAAGTGAGAGGCAGCATCTTGGAGGCTAGAGTGAAGAGCAGAGCCGGGGCCAGA